CTGCGCCTCTGCCTCTCTCCAGATGCAAACTCAGCAGATGCAATCCCAACAGATGCAAACCCAACAGATGCAAACACAACAGATGCAAGCACAACAGATGCAAACACAACAGATGCAAACCCAACAGATGCAAACCCAACAGATGCGAACCGAGCAGATGCAATCCCAACGGATGCAAACCCAACAACAGCAAACTATCGATCCCACCTGGGTCCAGCCACACTCCATGGCCGCCGCTGTCGCTACACAGCCCCTGGACCCTGTTGTTACCGCGCCGCCTGCCCCCACCGCCATCGACGCCCCTATACTACAAGCCCAGCCCGTCGCCCCAAGCGCCCCTGCCCCGCTCGTGCATGACGCCCGCCTGCAGCAGCAGACGATGGTCCAGCAGCAACTCGCGACCCAGCAAGAGTTTACAAGGCAGCAGCAACTCGCGCGCCAGCAAGAGATCGTCAGACAACAGCGGCTTGCGCGCCAGCAGCAACTGACCCAACAACAGCGCCAGCTCGCCCAGCAACAGCATATGGTCCAGCAACGCCAGTTCGCCCAGCGGCAGCACATGGCCCAGCAACAGCAACTTCAACAACAGATGGCTCATCAGCAACAGCAAACAGTCCAGCTTCAGATGGCTCAACAGCACATGGCCGAACGCCAGCACTTGATCGGTACCCAGGAGCAAGAGATTGACAAGGCCAAGGTCGGGGCGAAGAGGGCGAGCGCGCTCATTTCAAAGGAGGGACAAGCGACGGTTCCCATGCGAGACGTATCTGTCGCGAGCTCAGCAAGCGCATCGGGGTCTGCGTCACATGTCAAGTTCGCGACGGCTCAGTTGTTTGGCGCGGAGGCTAAGCAAGAACGGAAAAGTCAGGATGTTGGTGCAGGCCCGGGGTCGAGCATGGACATGGAGGAAGATCAGGATCAGAGGAAGGCTATGCGCGCTGAGCGGAACCGGCAGAGTGCGGCGGCGAGCAGGGAACGGAGGAAGCACCACATCAGAGAGTTGGAGAGGAGGGTTGCGTTGCTGACAAAAGAGAACGCAACGCTGCAAGTTGGCGAGTTGAATATGCTCAAGGAAAAGATTGACCAAGAAACCGAACTGGTAAAGGTCAATCAATCGTTGAAGCGGGATATGCATCTGAAAAACATGGAAATCATGGGGCTCTCGGAAAGGCTCACTGGCTTGAATACTGGTGGCAAGAAACATGCATCACCTAAACATGGCAAGACATGGAATGAAGGTTACTGGGCAAGGCGGCGAAGTGCTCACGCGGCCCCTAGCGCGAGCGAGAGCAAGCGCTAGTGCGGAAGCGAGTGATTGTTTCCAATGCTACCGTTTTGGAGCTTGGGATGCCTGTACAGACGTGTCACCGTACTTCAATAGGATGAATTACCCGTGGGGGAGTTTCGCACAACTTTGAGACAAAGGTCAACCACAGCAGAGCCTATATTAGATGCTAAAGTGTTGCATTTGTACAGGCACACAGCAGCTCCGAGAAACCACGGGCCCTTGACGAGTACTTTAGCCTATCTTGTTTATTCCGACTCAAGACGGAATTTATGCACAGCGAAGAAGTGTTTTTAATGTTTGTTCTTCATTCATATTTGCAAAGCGGTTTCGACGGGGGAGCCGATCCTTATCACATGGGGAGCGAGTACCAGGCTGCCTTACTTTTCAAGGATTATTGGTTGGTCAGAGTTGTCGCATGTAGTACGAACGTAATAACCTTGTGCCATGAAATTATACTATTGCCAGCAAAGCCGAATGTCCGAGGCGGGCAGTGGAGTCTATTACTCAGCCCCGATCTGAGAAGGATTCGCGTCGAAGCTATAGGTATGGAAAAGGTCATAAAGCCTGGGTGGGGTTTTGTGAACATGCTGTACTACCCAATCGCGGGGGTGGAGAGGCTGCGGTTGCCGTTTTTGAGACAGCGGACGACCCAGGTGTACAATAGTAGGGTATAGAGAGACGCAACGTTTCCGTCTCGTTTTTGAGGTGACGCAGCAGAAACCAATGCTTCGCCGGTAATCCTAACGAGCACAGCCGTGCAAAGGTTGCACGACAAACCTTAGGCCAAGACTCGCACGTGACATTGTCAAACCTCGTGCCCCTAGCGTAACGCGAGGTGCAACATACGGTTCAGCACTTCCTCAAGAAAACTGCAGAGGCAGTGCTTTTCCCTCCCGTTCGAAATCAGGATGACTACAAAGACGTCGATGATGAAACAGAAAAAGTCACGCGGACAGTCGGCGCGAGTCGACAAAAGATACCGCATTTCCTTTTTTTTATGCGGTACAGTCACCAATCGCGTAGTTAATGTCCCTCGCTTTGACCTACAAAGTTGTTTGCCCCGGCTTCTTCTTCTCTTCAGTCTCAGTCTTTTCCTTCTCGACTGTAGCGACGAGCTGTTCAATCTCGCCCTCCGCCAAGATCTTAATCCCTGTTTCTTTATGCATAACGCTAACTTCAATGTTCTTATGAGAGCTTTCGACAACCTCCAAAATGGCCCTGATGGCCAACTTGATGGTCTCCTCTTCTGCCTTCTCCTTCTCCACGTTAACGACACACTCGTCATACTTCTTTTCCAAAAATTCGCGAACGGTCTTCGAGTTGCGTCCAATGGCGTTCGCCTTCCACTCCGAAAACAATCCAGACGGGTCCGTCTGAAAGAGCCTCGGGGTACCGTCAGAATCGAAGCCAATGATAAGGGTAGATATGCCGAAGGGTCGCACACCTCCGCTTTGCGTGTAGCGCTGCTGCGTAGTCGCGATATGTCGAGAAATATAGTCGACGGAGGGGGCGTCCTCAACCATGAGGCGGTAGCTCTGGCATTCCTTGCGAGCCTTGTTGATAAGGACGCGGGCGTCAGCCGTCAAGCCGGCGAAGGCCAGACAGATGCGTTCGTCGATGCGGGCAGTCTTACGCACGGTGCGGGCGTCTTGCAGCTTCGCAGTTGATTTCTTTTCTACTGCGAGCACGAGAATATCGGTGCCTTTGATGCCGACCTGCGCAAAGGGAAGTGGGGCGTGGGGTTAGGGGGGGTCGCAAGCAGATGACTAGGGGATTTGGGGATTAGGGATGAAGTGAAGGAGGAAGCGTACCGCTGTGGATCCTTTTCGGACGGCTTCCAAGGCGTACTCGACTTGGAAAAGATGGCCGTCGGGCGAGAAGACTGTGATTGCGCGATCGTAGCGACTCATCGTGGGTCAGGTGCGGGGACGGGAGTTAAATTGGGCTTCGAGACAAGGCGGAGGACTGCGGGAGGAGGTTGATGAGGGAAGTTGAAGCGAGGGAAGTGGGTGGGCAATAAGACTGGATCTGTGTGATGTCCAAGTGCTGGAACGGAGCTTGATCATGTGATGCGTCTGCAGTACAGTACCTTGGTGCGAATCCCCCACGTCTGTGTGTTGTACACGTTTCCTTGCAACTCATGTGCCGTACAGTATCAATGCAAGTACAGGGGGGGGGGTCACGATATAGTGCCATATTTGTTAGTGCCAGCTCCGATATAGTGCTACCCTTCTGCGGGTGACACGAATTTTGAGCCAAAAACGAAGGGTCTCCAGAGAGGCAGTTGGATGGAGGTACACACTGCCCGAGAGCCGCTGCCGCCGCGGAAAGATATTATGCAGTTGCTAGAACTCGATTAGAGACTATGGCGGAAAAAGGCAGGGTCGATGATGCAATTGGACATCTGCAAAAGTGTAGGCTGGCATTTACGGCTGCGAAAAAGGAGGAAGTCAATGCGACGGCTCGGCAGCTACTAATATCAGAAATGCTTGATTAGACTTGAGTCTGTAGTGAAGATTCAAAGCATGAATGATGGCGTCCTGCGAGTGGTCCTTCTGAGCAAGTGATGCAAGGAAATGGCTGCAAAAGGCCGTAAATCTCAATATCTTACAGTGCCTGGTTCGATATAGTGCCGTTTTCGGCCCACCAACACAGGGTAGCACTATATCGCGACCCCCCCTGCACTGTACGAGCACAATTACAGTGGACGGTTCGTATTTGTTCCTGTTTGTCTCAACACGTGTCTTTCGTGTCGCAAGTATGGATTGCTGGAAGCTTTTTATTCCTCACGTCATTGCCGCTCCCTCCTTCCCGTCGGAACCCGCTTTGCCACAGATTTACTCGTTGCACGTCTACCGCGCAGGCGCACGACAGCATGGACGCCGTACATCTCAGCGCGATGGAAGTCGAGGCCGGCGGCGGCTCCGTCACGACTCTGGAAAAACCCGCTGTCCCTGCAGACGACAACTCGGAAGACCTTTACGTCAAGTATAAGACGCTTGAGCGCCAGCTGGAGTTCATCGAGATCCAGGAAAGCTACGTCAAGGATGAGATGAACTCTCTCAAACGCGAGTTACTCCACGCTCAGGAAGAGGTTAAACGCATCCAATCAGTCCCGCTCGTCATCGGGCAGTTTCTGGAAATGGTCGATGCCAACAGTGGCATCGTGGGCTCCACAACGGGGTCCAATTACTTTGTTAGGATCCTCTCCACCATCAATAGGGAACTGCTCAAGCCCAGCTCGTCTGTCGCCTTGCACCGCCATTCCAACGCCCTCGTCGACATTCTACCGCCCGAGGCTGACTCCACCATTTCTATGATGGGGGCCGATGAGAAGCCAGACGTCTCGTACTCGGACATTGGTGGCCTGGACATCCAGAAACAGGAGATCCGCGAGGCCGTTGAGCTCCCACTCACCCACGCAGGTCTGTACGAGCAGATTGGGATCGACCCGCCGAGGGGTGTGCTGCTATACGGAGCCCCGGGTACGGGTAAGACAATGCTGGCAAAGGCCGTGGCCAATCACACCACAGCCGCCTTCATCCGCGTCGTGGGTTCGGAGTTTGTCCAAAAGTATTTAGGGGAGGGACCGCGTATGGTCCGCGATGTGTTTCGATTGGCGCGGGAAAACGCCCCGGCCATCATCTTTATTGATGAAATTGATGCAATCGCCACCAAAAGGTTTGACGCCCAGACGGGCGCCGATAGGGAGGTGCAGCGTATTCTCATGGAGTTGTTAAATCAGATGGACGGTTTTGATCAGCACTCCAACGTCAAGGTCATCATGTGCACGAATCGGGCTGACACGTTGGACCCGGCTCTGCTGAGGCCGGGCCGGCTGGATCGGAAGATTGAGTTTCCGATGCCGGATCGCAGGCAGAAGAGGTTGGTGTTCCAGGTGGTCACAGGGAGGATGAACTTAGCGGATGAGGTCGACTTGGAGGAGTTTGTGTCTAGGCCAGATAAGATCAGTGGCGCGGAGATTGCGTCCATTTGTCAGGAGGCAGGGATGCAGGCCGTGAGAAAGAATCGGTATGTCGTTTTGCAGTCGGACTTTGAGACAGCGTACAAGGCAAACGTGCAGAAGGACGATGAAGAGTTTGCCTTCTACAAGTAAGAGCGAGCTCGGTTCGTTTTGTAAATTTATCGAGGGTGAGTGCTTGTGAATGCCTTTTTCTGTAAGGGGAGAGGGGTGCTTCTGTTAAAGATCCCGCGTTGTGCAGATCTGTAGCACGCTGCGAAGGATTTGCTCCTGACTTCTGTCGATCCTCACTCTCGGTCCCTGCAACTCTTTGAATTGTGAAAGTTATAGTCAACTATCAACAGGTCGCGCCTCTTCTGCCAAACAGAGCACTCGGGATACCGCGCAGCAAATCACGGGGCCTTCGCTCAAGCCTACTGTACTTCTGTACTAGCTGTTGCCTTTGAGCTGGCCTCTACTTTTTGGAGGACGGGTGTATCATGTCATACCTTTCTCCGCGTACCTATCTCCCTACGAGTGGCAAGCTCGGCGACTAGAAGAGTGCGCGGGTAGCACACCCAGCTTCTCCTTTTCCCGTCGAAAAGAGAAGCAGATGGTTTCATTGCTCAACGCGCACGGTAGATGCGTGCTTCTTTAACCTCTGCGGGATGCGCCGAAAACTGTAGAAGCGGAGTCTCCTCCGCTTTTCGATCGTGTGACGGCCTCAACGCAGTCCCTTTCCTCGTGGCTCAACCCCGCGTATAAAAAACAGGACAGATCTTTGCTAGTGCGCAGCCGTCCCCGCAAGCGCTTTAACGCCGAATTCTTGTGAACGCCAACTTACTCGATCGGACACATCAGGTGCGATTCTAGTAGCGCGGGTCCGTCTTGTCGCGCATTGGGATGTCGCAAATACGCGTAGAGCCGCCATCGCAATCAGTTGCAAGCACGCACTTGCAGCAACATCTCGCAAGCGCAGAATGACGCATACACGGCGCGTATCGAATCACCGCACGCTCCGATGGGCATTGACTTTGTGACCGATCATGGCAGCTTTGGCTACGCAGGCCATTAGCATACGCCCCTCAATCCGTATGCAGCCTGGCAGCGTGCCGATTCCACACCCGCCCCCTAACACCGCCGCCGATTTTCCACAAGAAATACAAGTCATTCAAAGCGGTGACGATATTGGCCGCGACCAGTGTCCAATTGAGGTTGTCCGTCGGCCTCATGTCCAAGACTCCTTGCTCCTTGCCCAGCCACTCCTCATCGCCGACGTCGGGTCGCATGGGGGCGACTCCGGTGACGCGGGCGACCCAGGCGACGAGATCAGGCTCGGTCCGGTTGCCGCGGAAGGCCTCCTGCGGCTTGTCCGCAATCAGGCGCAGCACAGTGGGGAAACCCAGGATCATGAGGTTGTAGTTGAGGACGTAGTCGCTGCGCGCGTCCAGCGCCAAGAAGCACAGGGTGCGGTAGCGCTTGGCCACGCGCAGCCACAGCGGAAAGATGGCGCGGCTCCACTCGCACGACGCGCCGCCGTGGAACAGCACGACGAGCGGGGTGGCCGGCGGCGGCGCCGCGGCGGCGATGATGGCGGACAGCTGCGCCGCGGATACCGTGCGAGTCAGGTTGGACGAGAGCTCCGTCAGCACACGCGAGATGGGGGCGTGCGCGCACACGTGGTCGTGCAGGGTGTAGAAGGGCGAGTGTGAGTGCGTCGAGGGTGGGGTTAGCAGAGTGACCGGCGGCGGCGCCACGGTTTGGCCGGTGGGAAGGCCGTTGTGCGTCAGGGCGGAGTGGGTTAGGAGGGGGAGGAGGAAGAGGACGGAGAGGAATGGGATCATGGCGGTAATGGGGATCGGGAACCCATGGGTGGGACGGATGGAAACGCGGGGATGGAGGAGAATGGTGTTTACTACTGTAGCGAAAAGGTGCGAAGGGCCACGTGTGAGGGGACTGACATATTGGCGACGTGGACACGTGTGCTATTACGGTTGGATAGAGCATATGGGTGCGGGTGCGGATTGGGCAGAGAGATCACGGATGTGCATCACCGCCGGTTTGCTGACGATGACGGCATCGCCCGCGCAAAGCTTAGCCCAGGTACCCCCGCATCGTCCCCTTAACCTAAAGCCCCGAACAAGAAACGCCTGCAACCGCAACCCTCACCCGTCCCCATGACCGCGGCGCGCGATGCCTCCCCCTTTCTCCGCGCTCGCCGCTGCGCTGCGGCGGCCGCTCGCCCCCCCCCCTAGCCCGTCGCCGCCGGCGCCGACCCCGCCCTCGCTGGTCGCGCTGTCGGCGGCCTACTCGCTCTTCTTGCTGCAGCGCGCCTCGGCCCCCTCCGCCCCGCGCCCGCCGCCGCGCCTGCTGCCCGTCACGTTGGACCTTCGTGCGCCGCACGCGGTCATCGCCGAGCACCGCGCCGCGCACCTCACGCCCACGCACCCGCGCCACCCCGCGCCCTGGCAGGTCGACCTTGCGTCCGCCAGCGACCTGCGCGCCCGCAAGCGCGACGTCGTCATCGTCACCACCGCCGCCATCCCGTGGATGACCGGCACAAGCGTCAACCCTGCCTTGCGCGCCGTCTACCTCGCGAAGGACGGCCACCGCGTCACGCTCGTCGTCCCGTGGCTCCCCACCGTCCCAGAGCAGCGCCGCGTGTTCGCAAAGGGCTGCCCGACGTTTGAACGTCGCGAGGACCACGCAGCGTACATTGAGCGCTGGGTGCGCGAGCAGGTCCCCACTGCGGTCGTGCGCGTCCTGTTTTATGAGGGCGCGTACGCACACGACTTTGGTTCTATTCTACCGGTCGGCGCCATCACCGATATTTTCGCACCGATGAACGTCGTCAAGGACGTTTGCATTTTAGAGGAGCCTGAGCACTTGACTTGGCATCATTCGGGTACCGTGTGGACCGAGCTGTTTAATATTGTCGTCGGCATCATACATACAAACTACGTCGAGTACGCCAACGGGTATGGCTTTTTTGGGCCGCAACGTGCCATGGCCCTCCTGTTTTTGAACGTCTGGGTTTGTAGAGGCTATTGTCATCGTGTCATTAAGCTCTCAGATGCAGTGCAACAGTTTCCGAATAGTGTCACATGCAACGTGCACGGCGTGCGGGACAAGTTCATTCATGCAGGACGGCACCGGAAGGGGGGCTTTGGGAAGGGCGCTTATTTTATGGGCAAGGTACTGTGGGCGAAGGGATACCGCGATCTGGTGGACAACATGCTCTACCATTACCGGGAGAAGGGCTACGCCTTGCGCATTCACTTTTACGGCTCGGGGCCAGACGCTGCCAGTGTACAGGCGGAGATCGATGCCGAGCCGGCGCTGGCTGCTGTCGCCTTTGACCCCTGCGTAGCTGACCCTCTGGGCGCCAACTTGCGTCAGTACAAGGTCTTCGTCAATGCCAGTCGCAGTGATGTTGTTTGCACAGCAACAGCAGAGGCATTGGCGATGGGCAAGTTGGTCGTATGTCTTAAACATCCGAGCAACGAATTTTTCTCAACCTTTCCCAACTGCATCACGTACCGTACGCCGGCAGAGTTTTCGGACGTTGTCGAGGACGCGTTGCGCCGCGAACCGGCCCCGCTGTCAGAGCTCGATGCATATCGGCTCACGTGGGAGGCGGCTACCGAGCGATTGTATGATGCAGTGCGCCTTCCGTTGTCGAAGAGTAAGCCGAGCAAGGTGGGTATCGCCTTGGCGAATGTTCACGCATCCCTTTCCAAGATTTATCCGCAGCCTGGTAAGGGAATTCGGATAGCAAATTCCGCCTGCCTTCCAGCTGATGCAAGATGAATTGAAAGACATGGTCTCACCATCAGAAGGAACATTTTGGATTACATCTGAAAAGCGCACAGTCCGTTATTGGCGCTTGCGGCTCTCTCATTACCGCTTTCAGAAGGAAGTCAGAGGCCTTTTGGGTATTCTTGGACCAAATACGCACACTACAACCCGGCCTTCGTTTCGCCACGGCCCGTCCTCTGCAAGCTTCTCTTCCGTTTACAATGGACATGATGCCGGCTCGCACTGACCGACTTTTAGCCTTTATTGCACTGCTGATGGTGACGGGGCAACTCTGGCGTATAGCAGAGGGAAGTATAGATGTATAGCAGGCGGTGCAGTGTCCGTTCACTACCAAAAAGAAGAATAGCTAGTACGCACTGATCCTCTATTCAGTTGTATTATGGACTAGCGAGTGTCAAGGTGCATGTTCTCTGTCTAGATATACCGTGCGTGGGTGCTTTCACCAACTGGACGCTATCGTGAAGAAGTCTTTATCTTGGTCACATCTGCTTTTCCTCTTGAACAGGCACAAGACAAAAAAGCTATCGACCTCTATCGCTTAAACGATTGTGATAGGAGGTATCTCAGTGATTCTGCTTCCGCCGAGTCCAATTGCTTTCAAGGGACAAGCCTTCAAAAGGCCATATAACTGTGTATTAAAACTCGCGAACATAACTGATCAGCCTCGTCTGTCACCTCGTGTGCCAAGTCCGTTAGAGAAGACTGTGGGCTATGCTTTCGTTGCAAACTGTAACTCCAGAATTGCCCCGGCACACGCCCCTCGTATCTGCGACTGCCCTTCACCCTTTATTCGGGGCAATGCCTTTTTTGGTTTCCAACGTGAAACCTACTTCTATCGGCGGGAAAAGGACGTCCTCCTGATTGTCAAATCAGTTACATAATGATAGAGAGCGTTAGAAGGTGTTCAAAAACGTAGGCTTACGCGTATGCCTCTGCTTCCTCCGATAGGAGACCGATTCGGGACTGCTACGCACCGTTGTCTCAGAGTGCAAACCAATAGAATGAGGTTCGCAGCAGGAGCTACCATGTCCGGTAATATCCAGCTCTTCCTTCAAGTCTCCTGTTTGCATCGGGCAGTCCCTTGGAGAGGCAGCTTGTCATGCAGGCCCAGGCCCCTGTTATTAAAGTGCCGCATTAGGTTAAATGGCCGCAAGGTCTACCTCAGGCAATTGTCGAGAGGTCTTCTTTTCAGATTTCTTCCTCTCCCAATCGCACGCCTACTTCTATTTTAAAGAGTTAACCAGGTACAAAACATATCTGCACAAAGAGATTGGCGGTAATCAAGTTGGAGAAATGCAACTTATATCTGAACGCCATATCAATACAGCTCAGGCATGGCTTCATATGAGGCCAGCTTTTTTTTGCAAACTATATATACATAAGGTTATATGGCTTTCGCCACCTGATATCCAATGGCCCTATTGTCTAGGCGAGAAGTGACCTCATATTATGAGGTCACTTCTCGCCTAGACAATAAGTTGAAAGGACAAATTCTCAGACAAGCTGAAAGGACAAATTCTCAGACTGGTGTCATGTGAAAGAAATATTCCGGATATGTTGTCAGACCAATATCAAAATCCCAATCAAGTCTAAGACTCAAGAGAATAAAAGGTTGAGGCGATGGATTAGTGTGTTGTAGTTTATTCTGCTAAAGCTGCTGTACGAGACTTGTATATATACTGCATTGCATGTGCAGATGCATTCTCAGTACATTCCAGATTGTATGACGTAAACAACCTCAATTCCGCCGAGCTGAGGAATTCAGTATTGTAGCATGTTAGACGTGGGCCATCGACTATGGGACTGATTATGCCAACTCTATTTTAACCTACGTGTCGCTTCAATAGCATTACTATTAAAGCAGGAAGCACTCCAGTAATTCCCCATACTGGTATCTCCATCAATTAAAACCTCGACAGTCTAGAGCATCCTCATACTTGCTTCCACATCAACAAGAATACAGTTTGGGCGTCAACTCGGAGGATTGAAATACAAGATCGGTGTCAGGCTTCCGGAGAAATACTAGAAACGCCTCAAACTGAACCAAGATACCCATTTGAGTGTCATAATCCACTCGACCTCCGGGAATGTGTCAAAAAGTAAAACATGCCTGGAATTGTTAAGATCAATGACGGCCATATCCATACTATGCATCTCAGTTGATCGGTATATCGAAAAAACCTTTGAGTCTCCAGATTTAGGTGCCAGGAGCCAACTCTGATGCGAAACCTTCATTTTCAGAAAGAGGACATTACAAGCTTTCGATACATACACAATGTTTATGTTCGAACAATCTACGGGCTTAAGAGAGACCTCCAAACTTATACTATTCATGAAGCTCGCGAAGATAGCAAAATGGCCTATTGATCGGTATACCGATCAACCACGTCCTGGCACCCGTACAAAGCTGGAAAGGAGTCACTACGAGCGCTTAAGTCTACTTCAGCGACGTTGCGAATGAGCTGGGGAAGGCTCATTGTCAATTCGAAGCCTTTTTCGCACTGGCGCAGCTGGATGCGATGGAGTTCCGGGACCACTTTCTTCGATTTCGCTGCTTTCCTGTGGATGTTCAGACATTGTAGGTGTTGGTAGTACCCTTGAAGCTGGCTTGGAGCATTCTTTTGGCTTTAAAACGTGCACGGACTGACACACATCCCAGCATTTTTTGCGGAATTTGCGATAAACTCTCACACACAAATGAACATCACAATGGGAGCACTGAAAGGTGCTTCTGTGCCCTCTCTATCCACCTGTTTTATTTCCACATAGTTCACAATATCGTTCTAAGGGGGTTTGACGCTGTTCATGACCTCGTACTTCCAATCGTAACCTGATTCCCTCTTGGCATTTGAAAAACGTTATTCGCTTCTTTTTCGGGGCAGATGCCTTAGCACGTGTGGGGGAGATTTGGGGTACTGTACAGGGTACAGTACCCAGGAGTGGCCCCAGGACCAAAGCCTTCAAAAGATGATTTTATTGGTCTACGTGTACGCCAGGTGTACACGTGGACAATCTCCCTTTGAAGGGCGGCGGTCCTGGGAAGTGGAAGATGCTGGCGGCCCCTCTATAAGAGAAAGGGGCGCGCCGCGACACCCCGCGACAGGAGGGACACAACAAAAAAAAACACCGGGACCGACCCCCCCTCTTGAAATAAACATCTCGCTTTTCTCTCTCCCCTACGCGCGCAGCCCCCTTTTTTAGCTGTCAACATGGTACTCTTGTCGAGGGGTGGCAAAGAAGACGGCTCCCTCTCACAGTTTGACGGGTCGAAGCCGGCCGACGTTCACAAGTTCTTCTTCGTCTTCGAGAATATTGCCACCTCTGGCAAGTCGGACGAAGAAAGGGCATCTGAACTCCTTCGCTACCTGGAGGGAGATGCATTCGACTTCTTTTATCAAGCCTTTGTCAAGAACGGAGATATCAGTGCAGATGGCTCCGACTACCAGAACGTCAAGAAGGCCTTGGTCGAGCGGTTCGCCCCGGTTGAATCACCTGAAGATGTGATTCGGGATGCGATGGCCGCTCGCCTTTCTTTTGGGGATCTCAATGGGTCCCTTCAAAACTCAGACCGTCTCTACGAGAAGGCGGGATTCAACGACGAAGCGAATTTTGGACTGCTTCGCAACGCCGTGATGGAACATCTCGAGTTGGCCCAGTTTGCCATCTATCGAGATGCGAAGACCTACAAGGCCCTATTCGATGCAATCATGGACTTCTGGTCTGGTCGCTGCGCCTTTCAGGCGGCGGCGAACTCCTTGAGCAATTCGCGCTACCAGGGGTCAGAGAGCTGGCAAGTTATGTATGAGCCGAAAGGGCAAGGTGGGTCAAAAAGGGTCATGATGCGTTCAAAAGCTCCCTTGTCTCCACTCGAGACGAAGGTTGACGCTTTAGCTGATCGACTAGCCGATATTTCCCTTATTATCAAGAAGAATCAGTCGAGGGATGACGCAACAGCATTCCGCCCCGCCCACGATCGTACTTGTTCTTATTGCAAACGACCGGGTCATGGTGCTAATAGATGCGATGCGAATCCGCATAGGGACACGAAATGCCCTCGCTGCGGAAAATTTGGTCATTCAGAGACAAGCTGTTGGGCTAGAATTGGTCCACAGAGGGGAGGTAGCGGTGCCTACCCTCCTAAGAAGACCCAGACGGATATTGCCGTGTCGGATACACGGACGGGCTCCGCAGGAAACCAGGTGAGTGTTGTGACACACGACGACCTCCCTGCAGATGAGAAGTTAGTAGCATCAGTCAAGAGAAACGCCGATGGAGAGCCGGTGGCCTAGACGCCAAAGGATGGTGGCGGCGAGCCAATCCCGTCCCTTCTCAACCCGCGTAAGTACTGGACTCCGAACCACATGAGGAAACCTCCTAAGCCCGGCCGTCGAACAAGAAAGAAGAGGACAAGTAAGAAGAACGCCGTCCAAGAGCACTCGGGGAAGTACGATGTGGTTTCTTCCCTCGCGAACGCCCCCTCTGGTTTGAAATTCGGTCAACTGATTCGAGGAGATGGCGACGAGGCTAAGAAAGAGATCCGTCGTTTGTTCAACAGTCGCCCTAGACGCCCCGTAGCTGCTTCGATCGGTACTTTGCCGAAACGTCTGAAAGTAGTTTCGGTACAAGTCTACGGGACACAAATGAGAGCGTTGTTAGACTCAGGAGCTATCCCTAATGTTATGAATGCGTCTGTGGCATCGAAGCTCTCTCTGTCTCCAAAGCCGACCTCGACGAAGATTACGGTCGCCAATGGACAAAAGATAACCTGCTTAGGTTCCATCGAGGAAGTTCCTGTCACGTTCAATGGCGCTGTTACTTCACTCAACTTCTTGGTTGTTGAAGGATCCCCAGTTGATATCTTAATCGGGTATCCAACTCTCGAAGAACTTCAAGCCTGCATCGATCTAGGTCACCAGTCTGTTAGTATGTTGATCGGAAACAAAACCGTGAAAATGAGTCTGGAGTTTGATCAAGTACGTCGTATTGTCGCG